CATAGACCCAGTAGTACTTGGCTGAACAAAACAAGAGAATACCACGTGGCTTGAAATCAAGAAAGCTGTGCATCAGGGCTATATTCATTGTTAATACCTATTTAATCTGTATGCTGATCAAATAATTTAATAGAAAATTCTATGAAATAGAATCCTGTGAGAAAGAATAGGACATCGGGACTAGAAATAGATTCATTAATAATCTGTTTTATGCAGATGGCACAACCTTGCTTGTAGAAAGTGAAGAAGACTTGAAGCACCTTACTGCAGAATATCAAAGACTGTAGCTTTCAATATGGGTTTTCTTCCAACAACAGAAAACAGAAATCCACACTACTGGACCGATAGGTAATATCATTATAGACATAGAAAGGATTTGCCAATGTTTTAATTTTACTTGGATACACACTCAACATCCTTGGTCACAGCATTCAAGAATTTAAAAGATGTGTTACATTGGAGAAATCTGCTATCAAGGACTTCTACAAATTTCTAAAGAGCAATGGTATCAAAATAACTGTGAGATATCATCTTACTCCAGCAACAATAGCAAAGTCCATCAGGGCAGCAAAGAACCAATGCTGGCAAGCTTACAGAGCGATCGGAACCCTTACTGACTGCCAGTGGGAATGTAAAATGGTATAACCCTGTGGAAGGCAGTCTGGCACTTTCTCAGTAAGTTGAAAATAGAAATATCATTTGATCCAGCAATTCCACTACTGTGAGTATACCCTAAAGAAACCAGGGCCACAACTCAAACAGATGTATGCACACCCATGTTTATTGCTGCATTATTCACAGTAGCAAAGAGGTAGAAGCAATTTAAGTGTCCATCAACAAATGAATGGATATAAAAAACATGGTACATCCACTCAATGGAATACTATGCAGCATTAACAAACAATTAAATAGTAAAACATTATAAAGTATGGGAGAGCCTTGAGGAATTACAGTAAGTGAAATATCTAAGTCACAAAAGGTCAAATACTGCATCACACCACTATTATAAAATAGGATTGACATGAGGGTCTTGGGAAGAAATTGGGGAAAGAGTGGCTAGATAGTAAACTCTGCATTAGAACAAACGAGGGGGAAAGCTGTCCAAAAGGAATATATGATTATGCTTTATATGTGTGAGAACAATCTGGAACAAGGAGTGCATTGCAAGGTGGCCTGGGGAAGGAAAGGAGAGGAGAAAATGTGCAACAATGAATAATAATTTTTTTTTAAAAAGAGCAATGATGTTAGTTTAAAGACTAAGATGTGATTGATCCAAGCCTTGATATTTTCATTCATTAGACAAGGACTGAGGATGACAGAAGAAGGATTGGGACCTTGAATTTTAGTGTTGGAGCATTAAATATACCACGGGTTTCCAAAAGAACAAACAGGTCTTGATGGAAATGCAACTAGAGTGTTCCTTAGAGGCAAAGTTGGAGAAACTTCATCTCAGTTACTTTGGGCATATTTTCAAGAGGAACTGGTTGTTTGAGAGAGAGTGTAGAGGACTGGTGAAGGAGAAGAAGACTGTCAAGGAGGTGAATTGACACAGTGACAGCTACAATGTGATTGAGCTTGACACAGATTGTGAGGATGGCATGGGTAGGGCAGGCTTCACATCTGTTGTTCATAGGTCACTATGAGCGATAGTCCACTTGATGGCACCTGTTGTTGTTATGTGTCATCGAGTCACCCGTGACTCATAGCAGTCTTACAAACAATAGCTCTGAAACCTGCCCTAACCTGAGCCAGTCTCACTGACTCAAACATTCTTCGCAATGTCAACCATAAATTATTATGATCCACACAGTTAAATGCCTTTGCATAATCAAGCATGAATAGACATTTTTCTGATATTCTTTACTTTCAACCAGGATCCATCTGACATCAGCAATGATATCCCTGAAGCCACGGCTTATTCTAACTTTTGCTTGAACTTCTGGCAGTTCCATATCTATGTACTGTTTTAGCCATTTTGAATGATCTTCGACAGTACTTTGCTTGCATGTGATATTAATGATACTGTTTGGTAGTTTCCACATTCAGTTGAATCACCTTCTTGGGAATGGGAAAAAATTTGAACCTCTTCCAATCCATTGGCCAGATAGCTGTCCTCCAAATTTCCTGGTGAGCACATCCAAGACTGCGTCTGTTAATTGCCACCATGTACCTGACACAATCTTCTTGAGCTTATTGAACTGGAATAGGTATGAACTACAGAAATTACTTTGCCCTCATATAAAATTGCTTTTAATAGTATGAGCTCACTGACTTCTTCCTCCTGTCTGGAAACTCTTATCGTCTGTCTCTGTTCACAAACGCAACCTTGAGTGGATGGAGATGGAGAATGATACAGAGAGGAAATTCATTTCATTGCACCTAAAATCCCCTAAGCTGCAGCTCAAGACCTTGTCCTTATTTTGCATCCTGTAAAAATGGAGAGAGAGGAGGGAAAGGCTGTGTCTCCTTTACCTGTCAACGCACCAGAACTGGGAAGTCACCTTCCCGCCCTGTTCCATCTTGATTGCGCTACACAAATTCTTGTTGTGCCAAGTCTGAATGTACTTTTTTTCTCCCTAGAAGGACAGTTTTGGGGGCACCTGAGAAGAAAGACTTAATGATCTACTTGAACACTATACTGACATCTGAGGAAGCACATGCCTAATCTGACACATGTGGGTCATCATCATGGCTTAGAATCCACTGGAGGGCAACTCCTGACCTATATAGCTTTAGAAGATATTGTTATATTTGAGTTAGATGAAAATTTTACAAGCTCTCATAAGAGATTATGCCCTTTTGTATAAGAGAGAAGGTAGCCTGTTCTTGGAGTTTTTAAGAATACCCGCAAATAAATAAGGAGTCACTTTGTTGTATTACATCTTTGTGCTGTCATAAAGCAGACTTTATAATAGAACCCGAGTTCAGCTCACAGACCCTGAGACCACAACCACAACTCTTGTACCCATGTTTATGTCATATTTACGGAATGAAGTCGCTGAGACTTTCAACACGACTCATAATTAACCTAAAACATAGTCATGTTTCTGTGTTACTACTGTTGAGTGACCTAAGTTCACAAGTCTTTACCTTGAGCCTATCTGGCAAGAGCGGTCGTTGGTCTGGTGCATTTACTCAGAGCTTAAGGCTCTGGGAGGTCAAGGGTAGAATGAAACAGCTAAGAAGGAGGTCTTTTATTGATGCTTCCTGTTCTTATTTTTATTCGTTTCCTTCTGAGTTGGCCATGGATGCTGCTCATGAATATAAACATTGATGGCAGTGGAAGAGGATGAAAAGCAAGTCCCAATCAGGTTGTTGCTCTTATGTGCCATCAAGTCACCCACAACACATAGCAACCCTATGCACAGCAGCTATGGACCCTGCCCTGTCCTGAGCCAGCCAGTATCACTAATTCCGAGACACCAACCCTCATTGCTCCAGTCACTGTATCAATCCGTCTCATCCGGGGGCTTCCTCTCCTGCACTGTCCCTCCACCCTTCCAGGCATGATATCCTTCTCCAAGGACTGCTCTCTCCTGGTCACATGCCCAAAATATGTGAGACGGAGCTTCAAAATCCTAGCCTCCAAGGAGAAATTTGGTTTCACTCTCTCCAAGACAAATCTATTTTTCTTGGTGGTACATGATATGTTCAAGACTCTTCTCCAGCACCACAATGCAAAGGCATCGGTTCTTCTTCTGTCATCCTTAGTCATTGTCCAACTCTCTGAAGCATAACAATTGCAAAGACCATGGCCTGGATTAGGTGCACCTTAGTCTCTTGACTGACATCGTTGCTTTTCAGCAATCTGGAGCAGATTGCTGGTCCCTGACAGCAGATTTTCCCAATGCAGTTCATCTTTTGACTTCCTGACTGTTGGTGCCCAGAGTGTTGATTGTGGAGCTGAGAGAGCTGTGTTAACCACCTCAGTCTCTCTTCCATCTATCATGGTGCTGCCAGTTGGCCCAGTGGTGAGCATCTTTGTCTTCCTGATGTTAAGCCTCAATCCGATTGCTGTAGTACTTTTTAAACCAGGCAATTTGTGTGTGTGTGTGTGTGTGTGTACACTAAGTTAGCAGAGGAGATCATGGTATGTTGGTCCAAGACCTTTAGAGAAATTTAAATTCCACATTTATATCATGAGGAGTTGAACAGCAAGGATTCCTCTTAGAAAGATATGCTTCAAGGGTTTCCTGGAGAAATTTATAGGAGAAAGATGGACAATCTCCTCATGTACAATATACTCCCTCTGAAAACCCTTTGGAGGGATAGCTCCAGTGGGCTTATAAATTAGTTCCAATTTTATAACACACACAACAACATAACAGAGAAATTTAGGGAGCTTCTTCTGACATACTTTGGGCATGTTGCAAGGAGAGACTGGTCCTTGGAGAGGGACATCATGTTTGGGAAAGTGGAGGGACGGTGCAGGAGAAGAAGACCCTCGATGAGACGGATCGAGTCTGTGAGTGGAGGGGTGGGAATGAGTGTGTTTGAGACTGCGAGGTTGGCACAGGATAGAACAGCATTTAGGGCTCTTGTACATAGAGTCACTATGAGTTGCAAGTGACTTGATGGCACATAACAACAACAACCACCACCAACTCAAAGGCATGTGATTCAAATCCATCACAGCTCAAAGGCATCAATTCTCTTTCTGTCATCCCTATTCACTGTTCAATTCTCTGATGCATAGTCTGTAATTGCAAAGACTATATCCAGGATCAGGTACATCTTAATCTCCAGCCTGACATCATTGCTCTTCAGTACTCTGGAGAGGTCCCTCACAGCTGACTTTCCCAATGCAATTTGTCTCCTGATTTCCTGGCTGCTGTTACCAAGAGTGTTGACTGTGGAACCAAGTAAACTAAAACTGTTAACTATCTCAATCTCTTCACCATCCATACTGATGTTGCCAATTGACCCAGTGGTGAGAATCTTTGTTTTCTTGATGTTGAGCTTCAATCCATATTGAAGACTGCAGTCCTTGACCTTCTGCAGCTAGCGCTTCAGGTCCTCCTCAGTTTCAGTGAGCAAGGTTGTGTCATCCGCATAACGTAGGTTGTTGATGATTCTTCCACCAGTCCTGATGCCACATTCCTCCTCGTACAGCCCAGCATCTCGGATGATCTGTTCTGCATACAGATTGAAAAGGTGTGGAGACAAAATACATCCCTGATGGACCCCTTTCTTGATTTTGAACCATCCAGTGTCTCCCTGCTCTGTTCTGATGACTGCCTCTTGGTCCAAGTATAGGTTTCGCATTAGCACAATCAAATGTTCCGGGATTACCATTCTTCTCAGAGTCAGCCATAGCATATTGTGATAAGTCAAAAGCCTTTGCATAGTTGATGAAGCACAGAGAGACATTCTTCTGGTATTCTCTGCTTTCTGCCAAGATCCATCTTACATTAGCGATAATATCCCTAGTACCACAACCTCTTCTAAATCCAGCCTGCACATCTGGCAGTTCTCTGTTGACATATTGTTCCAAACATTTTTGGATAATTTTCAGCAGAATCTTGCTTGCATGTGATATCAGTGATATTGTTCGATAATTTCCGTGCTCTGTTGGGTCACCTTTCTTTGGAATGGGAACAAATATTGATCTCTTCCAGTCGGTTGACCGTAGGATCAGCAAAAAAGAGGAAGGTCCTCAATAAGATAGACTATGATACAGTAACTGTGGCAATGGGCTCAGGTGTGTCGGGGATGATAAGTATGGCACTGGATAGGACACCTAATAACAAAAGCAGTCTTTATGGAAGCAAACTACCACATCTTTTTCTCCCATGAAGGAGCTTATACGTTCAAACTGTTAACCTTTAAATTAGCAGCAAAACACTTAATTACTGTAACCCCAGGGATCCTATCTGTAATATGTAGAAAGTAAAAAATTCCTCTGAGAGTGTGACCTCTCTTGCAGTCACCCTGGGCAGGGGTGTGGTTTTGAGTGCTTAGAGCAGCAGAAGTCATAGACTGGATGCTCAAGAAACCTATTTCTCTCATTTGCTCTCTTGTCTATGTTGTTGTTATATGCCTTCAAGTCGCCTGTGACTCATAGCGACCCTATGTACAACAGCTCTAAACTCTACCCTATCCTGTGCCAATCTCACTATCTCCAACACCCCTACCCCCATCACCCCAGTCACTGAATCAATCCACCTCATCAAGGGTCTTCCCCTCCTGCGCTGTCCCAAGCATGACGTTTCTCTCCAAGGACTGGTCCCTCCTTGCAACATGCCCAAAATATGTCAGATGAAGCTTCAGAATCCTTGCCTCCAAGGTGCAGCCCCACTTCACACTTTTCAGGACAAATCTGTTCATTTTCTTAGCAGTCCATGGTATATTCAATACTCTTCTCCAACACCACAGCTCAAAGGCATCAATTCTCCTTTTATCATCTCTAGTCATTGTCCAGCTCTCTGATGCATAACAATTGATTGCAAAGACCATGGCATGTATCAGGCACACCTTAATCTCCAGACTTACATTGTTTCACTCCAGTACATAAGAGAAGTCTCTAACTGCACACTTTCCCATCACAATACATCTTTTAATTTCCTGGCTTGCTGGTGCCAAGAGTGTTGATTGTGGAGCCAAGCAAACCAAAACTGTGAACAGTCTCAATCTCTTCACCATCCATTATGATGCTGCCAAGTGGCCCAATGATAAGAACCTTTTCAATCTATGCAGAACAGATTATCCGGGAGGCTGGGCTCTATGAGGAGAAATGTGTCTATGTATCTTCGTGTAAATGCACAGCATCCTCTCTTTTTCATTTTTTACAACTTCTGACGTAGGCTGTGACTGTATGGAGCTAACTGTGGGAAAGTACTGGACCAGCGACAAGAGGAGAAGAACACACTTACTTGTGGATACTCTTGAGAAGTCTGATTCAGCTAAAGGAAACGTGCTAGATATGGGCAACCCAGAGACTTTGGGATATTCCTCGTTGGTCCCTCATCACTTGTTTGCTGTAGAGTTGAACCCATGGTTGGTTTTGTGTCAGCTCTCCTTTTTCATCAGTTCCCCTTAATCTTTGATGTTTGATCAGTTTTGATCATGTTTGATGCAGTGATTTGAGTCCCACTTAAGCTATTCCTGGGAAATTATGCTACTCCGTGTCCAAAGAGAAGTACGGGGCATAACAGAGAAAAGCAATGAGGGTGTGTATGAGTTGTTGCTCTTCACAGAGAATTGTAACAAAAGGAAGTAATTTTGAGGCCAACTAGTTGTGTTCTGATTGAATTACTGGCACTCTCTGGGGAATATGGTTGGATTGTACATGTTTCCCATTTCAGAATGTTTGTCCCTAATCTAACTATTCTTTAAAAGGATTTGGAATGGAACTGAAAAGTAAAAGATCCTTTTCATATTCACTGATTTGCTTTCTTCTTTGGAAGAATCACCCAAAAACGTGCTACCCTTTGCCAAGTTTTTCATGTCTTGCTTTGATTCTGTTCGAGATGGTGGTCTGGGGGAATGAGCCCTGATGCTGAGAAGTGGATACTACAAGAAGTCCCACAGCAAGACTCTAATGGGAGTGACGGAGGAGAGGGGTTTTGTTTTTGTTTTTGTTTTTTTTACATTTTTTCCCATTCCTTCCTGTTCACAATTGTCACTCAGTGTTCAATCACATGCTAACCATGTATGTGTTGTGAAACACTCCTTCTATCCTTTTTTCTTCTGTCATTTTCTAAATTACTTTTTCTTAATGTTGTTAAATGGAAAGATTTTTATTTAGGTTCTGGTTTGTTGTGTTTTTTTTTTCTTTCCTAAGATGTTCCATACATTGGATCATCTGTTTGCCCCAAATTTATTTTAATGTGGCACAGATATCTAGCATGTATTTATAGTACGTTATGTTTTAATATCTGTTACACAGGGAGCTGAGACATTTTGTTTACAACATGGTAAAACTTTTCGGAGACACTTTGAAATTCAGGAATGATTTTTCAGAATCTCATAACTTAAGATAAAAAATGTACTTATGCTTCTTGATCACTTGGGTTTTTTCTGTTGCATCAAAACATTTTCAATTAGATCTATGTGGAGAAAAACTAAGATTTATCTCCCTTTAACACTGTTGTTCATCTTGAGATTTTTTTCTTCACTGAAGCAAATACTTCTATAATCTCTCTTTGAGGACAATAAATACTAGTTCTCAATTATGATAGTGTTATGCTCTTTGGCTCAGAAGTATTATCAAGATATTATCCAACTGCACTGTATAAAATACACTCAATATATGGGCATCTCTGAAGAATATGCCAAAATGACTAGTTAGTTATTCTTACTACAGCAAGACAACATAATCAAGCTAGAGAATGCCTACAGCTTGTTTTAATTTATTTCATTTTTGGTTTAAATTTACCACCCACAGTTATACAAAATACATAAAAGCGTGTGGGTTTGGTATGTTTATTTTTCTATTATACAGTCCTCATGCCCAAGTGGGACTGTCCTTAGAGCCTTGAGAACCAAAGTGAATTAGAAGACATTTATCTTTTTTATAATAGTCTCAGAAAATACTGGTTCTAAAAAAGTCATAATCACAATGTACCACTGCCATCCTTTGAGAGTTAACGCTGTTTGCATAGTTGATCACCCTCTGAAGCCAAGGAATGTGAGGCTGCTGTCCACTAAAATGGGCCTGAAAGTCACGTGGAACCCACCCAAAGATGCTGCCAGTAGACCCGTGGAGCATTACAACATAGCCTATGGGAAGTCACTGAAAAGCCTTAGCTACATCAAGGTGAATGCGGAGACATCCTCCTTCCTTATCGAGGATGTGGGTAAGTGACACCATGACTTTGTTCCCATCAGAGTAACTGCAAATCAGCATTCTCATTACATTCTTGGCATTAGTCTTTGCAGCCTTGGCTCACAGCATCTAGTTGTTCCTTGGAAATGGGCATCCAGAGATGCTCTCAAAAAATGTGGTTGTTTCAAGTCTTCCACCTTGACCTCTGGGCTTCCCCATCATGCATTTCAGCTCTCCAGTAATCTTAACTCTCCAAATTTATGTTGCAAATGATTTAGTTTCTGAATGGGCTTCTGGGAAAAAAATACATGGATCTTTTTTAATCTCCTAGAAACTTGACTATTGGATAACTTAACTATCTAATATTGGATTTTATAAAAAACCATTGTGGAACTTTCCTGAAAAGTATGTGTTGTGTCATACTTAACCACATATAGTTCAAAGATAGTTTTTCCTTCCATTAAATTTGATTCTAGAAGTTGAGAAACTTTCAAATGTTTCCTATCTTGCTTTGCAAGTGCAGCTGTATGTGATTTTAAACCCAAATATTGAAATGTATCCTAGGGGTCCTCTCTATTTTGCTGCTTTTATGATCCCAGGAACCTTTAACTCCATTTACTTTTATCATCTCTTGTGGCCCAACCTTAAGAGGGATCATAGCCATATAGAGAATGCAGTATCTATGAAAACGATCCCACTCCATCCCAAGCCAAGTTAGCATTTTGAGCCTTCCTTCAGTGGATGTAATCAACTGTGGCCCCTCAACTCTCTTCCCCAATTGTAGACTACCTCCCCTGCCTTCTCTATTTGATGTAGCAATTCCTGGGTGACAGTACAGTGAAGGTAGCCTGGGTGATAGCCAAGGAGGCTGACTCCCTTCCTCATGATTACAAACTAAGGTCCATTTCTCAGAATTACAATCCTATCATTATTCCCCTGTCAGACTCTAATTCTTAAGTTCTGACCCTTTGAGGCTGAAGGTCTCATTTGCGCTCTCAATCTGTCATGCTTGCTGCAGAGAGGGAAAGTGTGTAAAGAGAGCTGGAGAGCTCACTGAAGAAGAGAGTCTACCCAAAAACCTCTGAGAGCGAGCTGTACAGGAATCAGGAACATGTGGATTACATTTCTTTGAAATACAAATAAACCCAGAGCAAATAGAGAAAGTGCCTGAAGGACTGTGATTCTGCATTTCATCTGAACCCAGCGCATTCTCCAATTAGTCTGGCAGGTCATGCCAAACCCTAAATGCCACCAGCCCTGCCATCGTCACAAAAAATCAGACCAGCCTTGCACATGATGCATCCCAGATGGTGTCCATTGGGTGGCTGTCTCTGGGCCTCTCTCTGAAAGAGAGAAGCTCTGTTTGAGGAATTCTCCTTATTCTGAGAAATAATGCAATGAGCATGACTGCCTTTGACAGACTAACTCACCATTCCAACCCTTTGCCCCATCTAAGGTTCATAGACTTTCAAGGAATTGAAAGGAATTGACAACTCCATTTACCTTTCCAAATACATTAATTCACCGTGAGGAAAACCAGCACCCCAGAGTTTTCAGAAACTGCAGGTGCAAAGCACATCCACTTTGTAATATGACATCTTTATTTCCTTCCACACTCCAACAATTTCAGGAGTTCAGCTAAAAAACCCTCCAACATTTGACCTTGACCCTTAGACACAAGTAAAAATGTAAAGTCTAATTATTTAAAGTTATCCTTTTTAAGTTTTCTGAGAATATTTTTCTGGATTCCCTCATCTCCAGTTATGGTAAGACAGCATATATAAAAAGAAAGGAGAATAGTTTACTTTGAAAAGAGAAGATTTTATGAAACTTCACATATTTAGTTCATTAGGCTTTATATCCCATGTGCTAAATATCACAGTTATATTAGTTATATTGACCTTTTCATATTGTTTTCTGGAGACTTTCACTGGGAATCTCCATTGGGAGCTATTATTTATAGTTACTGATACTGTTGAAACATCTTTTTTTTAGTGGATAGTACATTCCTATTCCTTACTTTTTCCCCCTTAATTGTTGACTATCCATGAACTCAGATGTATTACATCTACACTACTCTGTACTTAATAAATTTTGTTTTCTTTGGGTCAGGTGTATTTCAGTTGTTTGAGAGGAATGTGAGTGATTTCTGGTGAAAAAGAAAGAGATGCAATGGTTAGATTTGTCAGTTAATTTAAGTTTTTGTATTTTGTTATGACTGGTATAAGGAACAGGGCTAGTGAATCAAACTGTGTCATTCTTGGAGATGCAAAATAGGGCTTGATGTAAACCATATGTTTCAGAGCCGGGGGTAGTATACTTTGTGCTGGTTACTGCGGAAAATCACAATGGAGTGAGCCGTCCAGTTTACAGAGCTGACAGGACACCTGGTAAGTCTGACATAGAACTGGAGGCTGTGTTTTCACTGTTTAGGTGGGAAGAGATATCCCTTCTTGTTTCTTCAGGTCAATATAAATTTCTAACTTCTGAATAAGAAATTTTTACATTCATTAAAAAAGTTGGAAGACAGATACTTGGAAAGACTTATCTCTTCTTTATAGATAATTTTATTGTTGGCTGTTAGCATTTTGTTGGAAAAGTTTGAGTATGTTAGAGTAAGCCATATGCAAAAGACTAAACTATTGTCCATAAAACAATTGTCTGGTCACTGGGCAGACCCTTCTGAAGACTGTTGAAGAGATCATACTTTAGGGATGTAATGAAATGTGAAAAACTCAATAGTACTTGTTTCTAACGATCAAGTTGCATTTTCCTGATTTAGGAGGTGAATGGATCAAGATTGATGGTTTTCCCATTAAGGGTCCAGGACAATTTAATGAAACCGTCACAGGTACTCTTTGCTCATTTGGTTCATGTGTTCACTGAATAAAGCACAGTCTGACACGAGGCTGTGTGTCTGTCCCACACGTGTTCTTATAAACCTTCATGGAGTTCCCATCGCTACACTAACTCACGTGCCACACAGTCTTGTCAGCTGTCACCTGTTGTATCAGAATGCAGCCAGTGTTGCTCATCCCTCACTGTTTTTTCATGGTCTGGTGTTGGGGAATGTTTTGTCTACATCTCTCCATTTGTACACTTGAATGCTGTTGCCCAGGTAACAGGCAAATATGGTGGTTGAGATGGCAGTCCTGGTCTGATTAGGATATTTTTACCCCCTTCATCTGCAAATGACATCAATGAACGTGATTTACCAAACAGTGTCTCTTCATTGGCAAATACATTACATCAAGTCTTGCTGTCTTTTCTTAAAGCCTTAGGAGTTTTTTGTGATATACTAGATAATTTGTCTTCCATCTCTGCTCCATATTTGTATGTATGTTTTATCACTTAGCTATTGTTTGATCATACTGTTTTACTTATGAAGCTAAATGTTGATATTTCCTTGTGTGTTTCTTGAACTTACTTAATCCATGCAAAATAAGTTCAGTTATTTTAGTGTGTGGTTGGGTAATATTGCTAAGAGCTATGTTTTATTTTTGTATGCTATCTTATTAAATAAAGAAATCTGGCACTGTTGTTGAGAGGAAGGTGAGTAAAGAGAAATCACTTGCCATAATCCATACCCAGATCAGATTTGATGGCTTTTCAACGTTACTTTTATATGAAAAGGAGTTGAAAAAAAAAACAATTAGAAACAGAAAGTAGTTTTTCAAAAAAGAAGAGATGTTCTTGTACAAATATGCTAAATGCCAGGTGATCATGGAAAACAGTAATGAATTTCCCAATACAATTGGCTAGAGTTCTGTCAAAGGAGCCAATGGATATGGCATGTTAGTTTCTTTAAACTGATGGTTGTCAATATCACTGTGGCAGAAATGACTAGCACAGTGACCAGTTGATAAATCCATTGCTTCTTCATGGGCTTGGCCAGGTAATCGTGGAGACAAATCATGGGCTTCTGTACTCCTGACTTAGTTAAGTCTAATTTTTTAATTAATTTAATATGAATCAAAGACAATTCTCTATTTCAACAGGCTTTGTTTTCCTACAACAGTTTTAGATTTATAGAAAAATTGCACAAGAAATACAAAGACTCCACATATCCCCTCTCCTTTCCACAGTTTCTTGTTATTATCTTGCATGTATGTGGCATATTTGCTACAACTGGTGAATCAATACCGATTAGCTTTGCATTGTATATTTCTATGGATTTTTATAAATGCCTGCTAGCATGAATACTATATATATATATATATCATATGGAATAGTTTCACTGCCCTGAAAGTGCCCATACTTCATTCATTCATTCCCCTTTCTCCACCTGCGTGCCTGGGACCACTTATTTTTCATACATCGCCTTTCCCAGAATGACATAGATGGAATCATATAGTAGGTGGATTTTTTTTAAATTTTTTTTTTAGAGAGGCTACTTCCACTTAGCAATATGCACCTAAGGTTGTTTCCTTCACATATTTTCATGGCTTCATAGCTCATTCCTTTTTATTGATGAGTAATACTCTAACATATGGATGTGCTACTGTTTGTTTATCCACCCATGTGTTGGAAAACATCTTGAATGCTTCTAGTTTTTACAGTTATGAATAAAGGTGCTATGAGAATTTGTGTACAGTTTTTGGTGTGAGCATATTAATTTGTATAAATATCTAGGAGTGTGATTGGTGCATTAAGTATTTAGCCTTTGTTTAACTTTATTAGAAACTGTCAGACTATCTTCTCTAGTAGCCGAGCCCTTGTGCAGGAATGAGAGTTCCTGGTATTGAACATCCTCACCAATATTTGAGGTTGTCTGTTCTAGATTTTAGCCATTCTAATATATGTGAAGTGATATCTTGTTTTGCTGTGTTGTTTTGTTTTGTGACTCCCTAATGACATATTTTTACAAATGCATAACATTATCCAATTACTAGAAACAAACCATCATGCTTGGAAAAGTGGAGGTACAATAAAAGAGAGACTATCCTTTAATAAGAGAGATTGACACAGTGACTGAAAAAAATGGGCTTGTGCAGAGATTATGAGGATGGCTCAGGATTGGACAGGGTTTTGTTCTGCTCTGTACCGTGTCCCTGTGAGTTATAGCCAACCTGGGGTACCCAACAACCACAACAACTCTGTGTGCTGTTGAGTGTCTTTTTGTACGCTTAATTGCACATGAAATAAGGATGTTTTGGTTCTTTATTAAGGTGCATGTTCAGATATTTTACCTATTTTGTAATTGAGCTGTATATTTTATTGTTTTGAGAATTCTTTGTCAACCTTGAATAGAAGTGCTTTATCAGACATGTATTTTGTACATATTTTCTTTCAGTCTGTGGTTTGCATATCTTAATTCATGCCTCCTCTTATTTTGAAAGTCTTGAGTGAGGAATAGCATTTCGTGTACTTATAAATTAGAATTCCTCCAAGGTTTCTGTCTGTTCTGTGAAGATGAGGTACAGTTGTCCAAATAACTTCCTGCAAAGACACCACTAGACTAATGGGACCCTTTCTACAGAAACTCTCAGACCTCTTTATCTAAGCATTGTTCAAATCTTCTCTAACATTTGAATATCGTTGGGATATATCAAGCTTAGAGTCCACTTATTAACGAAAACATGTAGGTGATAGAGGTTTGTGTGTGAGCTGTGTTGTTTCATTTCATCCAGTTCAGGAGTTCCTGCTCCAGTCTCCCTGTGGAATAGCTTAAAAGGAGCCAACAGCAGTCAAGCCCAGTAGAAATGAAAGTCTCCTTAACAGACTTCTCTGTCTCTAGACTTTAAAGAAAACTTTTGCTGTGTTTTTGTATTATTTTGCCATGCAGATTAGCCTTTGAATCCTACATCTATGAGTATAAATATATGGTCATGGGATTTTCCTTCAATAGATGCTGAGGAAGTAAGCAGTTTCAAGAAAGGTCCTTTTTCTCAATCTCAGTGTGTGGACTTCCTTCAGGGTTGATGAGCTGCTCTTCTTAGTGGGAGTAACCACGTGGGCTGAAAGCCACAGAGAGTACACTGTCTCCGCCCCTGTGGCCTCCACAAGGAATGCACTGCTGATTTTGCTTACATGTACTGGGAGAACCTAGTTGTTGTTGTTGTTGTGTACCATCGAGTCAGAACTGACTCATGGTTGATCCTCCAGCAAATTTTAAGAGGCAGTATAATCACACGGAAGGAGATTGCCTTCCTTTCTCTTGTGGAGTGTCTGGTGGATTCAAACCACGTGCCTTCAGGTTGGCATCACAGCTCTTTACCACTAGGCCACCAGAGCCCCCTGAAAGAACTCAGAGTCTCCTAACATCTCAGACCAAATCAGCATCTTTGAGACCAAATGTCTCTTTCTGACTGTATGTCACATGGGGCTTCTATTAAATGTCTGATGGAAAATGAGAATGAATAGGGAGGGAGCTGCCATGCTTCTGAGGATGCGGCTTTTTGTACAAAATCCTTCTCTTTGTCGTGGAAGAAAGTACTCTGCTTTTTTAAGTCACCAAACTCCTTAATAAAGTATCGTTGAATCTTTCATTTATTAATAACATGCTGGATAACACCCCAAAGACAAAATTTAAAAATACAATAACCAACAAATCCTTCAACAAAAGATCTCCATTTACGAAGAAACAATAACATAATTACCTAACATTTCGCTCCCAAATGAGAGAAAAGTTCAAAATGTTTACAGACCAAGACAAATAGAAAACAAAACTTTAAAAAACCCTTTAAAATGAGCATGTAATTTCCACATAATGTTTAATACTCCCTCCTGTTGGTTTTCACAGCCAGCGTGCTCCTTGCAGGCAGAGATGGCAAAGTTTTGTCTCTCATATTTTGGACATGTAGGTAGGCAGGGCTATTCCTTGCAAAGAGACATCATGCTTGGAAAGACGGAGGGTCAGCAAAGGAGAGGAAGACCCCCAACGAGATGGACTGACACAGTGACTTCAGCAATAGGCCCTAGTGTGTCAGAGGTGACGAGAATGGCACAGGACAGGGCAGGGTTCAGGTCCGCTGTTTGTAGGGTCACTGAGACTAGTACTTGACTTGATGGCACTTAACAATAACAACCTCTTGGCTTTCACCAGTCATGAAGTGTGTCTTTGTTGTACTTGGAATGGGGTGGAATGACATGTGGAAAAGCCGGGAGTCTTCATTTCAGCTCTTGGACGTGGAGCTTTTGCTTCTTCTCCCATCTGTGGTCATCATGAATGTTCAGGAGTGTTGCTTCTTCATAGCTCCTTCAAGTGCATCTAGAGCGGAGACTGGCAAGGACTCGGCTGGAGAGAACCTTCCCACCCAGCCCCCTGCTCCTTCTGTGGAGACTGGGTTGGGGGGGAGTGAGCTCAGACAGGCTCACCCCAGCTCTGAGTTGCAGACACAACAATGGCGTCTACCGGAATGGAATGTGAGATGGCTGAGGACAGCTGCACTGGTGCCACTCTTACGTGGGGCATGAAGACCATTGTGGTGACAGCTGCTGTGGAGTCGAGTCCAAGGCATGGTGACCTCGAGTGTGCCAGAGTAGAATGTTGCTCCTCCGTAGGGCGTTTTCTTTATTTTAGTGAGGTTTTGTTCATTTATTTTGATGAAGGTTTACACGATAGTTTATGTTGTTCTTTGGCAGTTTCTTCTACACATGTTGTAGTGACCTTGGCTCCCTTCTTCCTAGTGCTTGAATGTTCTCGTTATTTCATGTCTGATTTTTCCACTTCCATTAACCTCATTTCCCTGCCCCCTAATCTTCATACCTAAGTTTGAAAGTAAGTGTTTATGGTTTGATCTCATATAGTTGATGTTTTCTAAGGAGCACAGCACTTATGGGTGATATTCATAATTTTTTTAGTCAGTTTGCTGCTTAATACGAGGTGACTTTGGTGGTTAATTTGGTTCA